GTGAGACACGACCAAGACCACAGGTGTTGCAAGGGTGCTGCCTGCTGTGGCCTCTCCCAGCATCGCCACGGCACGCACAGCGTGAGTCTGTCGGTTTATTAATCTATCTGAAACATATTTAGGGTTCAGGTAAAGTGAAGGTTGAATCAGGTCATTTTTCTAAGCTGTTTGTTTAATAATTCTTTTAAGGTCTTTCTTTCAAACTTCTTCTGTACAGCAGCCTCTTCTGGGCTCTGTGTGTTTGTCCCACGAGGCACACTGTTCTGATTATTGAGGTTTTAGCATATGTTTAATCTTCCTCCTACTCACTCCCCCATGATCTTCATTCTAGAAGTTTCTGTACCCCCACCCTTTCCAGGTCCCCCAGGCTCCTTCGGACTCCCTCAGCATGGCCTCCTTTGTGCTTCTGTTTGGGGAGGCCCTTCCTCTCAGACACAGGAAGCCTTTTCCTCCCTGGTGTGGCGGGAAGAGGGGGTGGCCATGTTTCTGGGGATGTGATCTTACTGGCTTCCCTCAGGGAGGCATGGAGGCCAGGCGCAGCTCCGCCCTCTGCCTAGGGATGTGTCCTGATGTCCCCTCCCACCCCATCCAAGGCCCAGGAGGAAGAGGGACAGCACTCAGGGAAAGAGGGGTGGGGCTGGCTGTGGGTTCAAACCAGGTGACCAGCCAGACAGCTGGGGCCAGTGCCTGCGCATCCTCTGAATTCACATCCAGGACACAGGAACTTGGCTGTGAGTCTTGAAGACCTGGGAGGTGAGGGAGGGCAAGAGGGCATTTGCTGCTGTGGGCTGGGAGGCCTGTCCACAGGGATGGTCGCTCAATTTTCTTTTCCTGCCACTACATTTTGTGTTCCTCACCTGAAGCCCAGCAGTGGCTTCCATCCTCCTGGAATAAGCCCAAATTCTTTACCCTGGTGTCAAGGCCCATGTGAGCTGCCCTCTGCCTACCGCTTCCAGCTCATCCTCCCCACCCCCACCTTGTTTCTTGAACAAGCCAAGCCAGAGGCCACAGGGCCTTTGTGCTGCTGTTCTCTCTGCCTGGAATGCTGTTCTAGACCATCTCAGTAGGTCTCCCTGACCACCCCCAAAGTGCCTTACCTGAAACAGCTTATCTCTCACCCGCTTTGTGTTCCCTCCAGGGGGCCTGTTTCATCAAGGGATTTCCCTGCTTTGAACATAAATATCTCTTGAATGTACAAGTAACTATTTCTTAAAGCAACCCTCCAAAATGGCTATCACCCGGAGGAGGAAGCTGAGACCCCAATACACTGCAGGCTACACAGCTGGTGAGGCTTGGGGGGCGGCAGGGGCGTGAGATGTGCCCCCTGGCTTTGCAGGCCTCCAGGGTCCCTGAGCTTTCCAGAGCTCTGCTGTCTAGACTAACATTATCCAGTAGAAATATTATTTGAGCCAAATATAGCACTCAAAATCATCTAGTAGCCACATTAAAGGAAAAACAAACTGGTGGAATTAATTGAAATCATATAGTTTATTTAACTCAATATATCAGAACTGTTATCATCTCAATACGTGATTAACATAAAAATTACTAACGATAAATGTTACACTCCGCCTTCACAGGAGGTACTCAGAGGCCGTGTTTTATAGGTACCGTGCATCAGCATGCAACTGGCCCATTTCAAGGCGCCACACGTGGTTGGTGCCTCCCGTGACAGCCAGGCCAGGCTTCATTCCTCGAAGCCACCAAGTGTGCCTTAACATAGAGCTGTATACAAAAATGGTCACAAAATCATTCTGGGCACATAGCTACTTTAAACTTCATTTCTGTCTGTGTATTTAAAACAAAAAATAAAAACATTTAACAGAGTGAAAAACAACTTGGAGAATGCTGTCCCAGCCTCTGAAAGGCCCATCTCCTGGGGAGTCTGGATGTAAAGGCCTCATGCCTGATCTTGGGCCGACACCTGGCATGAGCTCACGCCCCGCCCACACCCTAGTTAACGACCGTGCAGGCCCTTCAGATCTCCAAGGAGAGAGCCTCTCCTGGCTTAGCTGTCCTGACCCAAAAAGTCTAGCCTGGAGAGTGAAGGCATGTGTGGTGTTTTTTTCTGCAAATTGTTCTGAAATCTGCTCTGGCCTGGGCAGAGGCCTGGTCTGGAAGCCTAGCTGGCCCACCTGCATGGCCCACCTAGGCCAGTGGGCAGCTGCGCCCTTGCCCCTGCCTCCCATCAGGCCCTGCAGGGGCGGGGTGTGTGTGTGTATGCTGCTTTTCCTGGGTGGGAGGGTGGCTCGTTGTCAGGGAGACAGCCTTGCACGCTAAGGCCTACTGACCCCTGCCTTCCAGATGAGAGAACTGGGACTCAAGGAAGCCTGGGGTCAACTTACACCAGTAAGGCCAAGGAGCACCTTTGGACCTTGTGACTGGGCATCAGGTGGGCGTGGGCCCCAGTTGTGGAGCCTTTGTCGCCTGTGGCCACATCATTCTTTATGCTCCCATCTGTGACCTGGAGGACAAATGCCACCCGAGAAATCCGCCTTGTGTATATGCAGCTTGTATGGAGGATCCCACGCCATGGGACTGCCTGTGGATGGCTTAACTTCCTGGCATGGAGACATTGTGAATTGGGAGGTGGGACAGGCCCCCAACAGGGGTCCATGCAAGTGAAATGAAATCACAGAGGGATGGAGGTGCTCAGCAGATGTTGGTTTGACTCCCGCTGAGAAATAATGACAGTAGTAATGGAGAGCTGACTGGAGACAGGCCCCACATAGGTGCTGGGAGAGACACAGTACAGGGCTGGGTGAGGTGGGCTTTGTGTTTAAAGGCTGGCTGCTAGCCTCAAAAAGCACTGGGTCCCCAATAGGTCTATAAAGGCATACCCTGCAGCCCCCCACCTTGCTCTGAGAAATGATCAAGACCCTTCCAGCACCTCCCTGGCTTTAGGGTCATGGGTAGTGAGCCTGAGGGAACCAGCGAGGGGTGGACACCCAGCCAGTCACCCAGCTACACCGCCCTCTCTCTCCGCCTACTTGGAGCACCTGACTCACCCTAATTATGGGCCTGTGACAGGTCAGTGCGCGTGGGCGGCACCCGAGATAGCCCAGAAGCAGCGGCTCAGGGGCGACCGGACATCCCAGGCTGCCAGGTGCACCTCCACCTCCCACCAGCACCTCCCCACTCGGGAGATCCCCACAGAGCCCTGGTCTGCTGCCAGCTGGCCCGGGGGCATCAGCAGCCAGCCTCCCGAAGGCGTGTGGGCGTGGGGTGGAAATCTTAGGGGCAGCCGGCAGGCAGCTGGGTGTGTCTGTGGGGGTCCTGCCTCGGTCTGGGGCCTGGGTGGGGATACCCCACAGAGCTGGGACACCACGCCCACACACTGGACACCGCCGCCCGCGCCTCCGACTAGAATGTATATTTAGCCTTGTTATCAAATGTTTGCAGTGAACCGTGTGAACCGCCTAATAGCGGCTGGAAGTGAAACTCGATTCCCCGGGCAAAAGGGAGCATGTGACCATGCTTGGTCTGCCAGGACCACCGGCGGGGCGGGCTGGGCAGGTGCTATTGTCCCGTCGGCGGCCGAATGGCTGCCACCCACCCCAGTGCTCAGGCCTCTTCTCCAGGGATTGAAGTGAGGAATGCAGCGTGTGGATGAGGGTGTTGAGGAGAGGTATTAACAAGTGGGGGTGGAGTCCACACGGGCGCAGGTTCTCGTGGGAGTTGGTGACCTCTTGGTCAAGTCAGTGGTGAGGTCTTCGTTTCCAATTTGGAAAGGAGCTTCTGGGATTTATTTCTGACAGTTTCTTCTGAGGACCCGGGGGAGGGTGGGGTACGTTGAGTTGGAAGAGGCCCTGTTCCACCCGAGGACGGGTCTTGATTCTCCGACGGGCGTCGCACCCCGTCTTCCCCAAAAGGCGGCTGGCTGTTCGCGCGGCCGCTGTTGCCGTGGTCGCTATGACGACCGGCCGCGGTTTATTTTTAATAGAGGCGGGGATTCGAGGGGTGCCGGCGCCGTTCCCCAGTCCGGGGCCGGATGCACCCATGCCTCAGCCCTGCTCACCGGGTCGCTCTGGCCTGAGACTTCCGTTGAATGTGGCCCACTCCTGGCCCCAAGTCCGAGCTAGGCACCCCTGAAGTGCCAGGCTGGGAGCGGGCTCCAAGAGACGTACCCCACTAGGTTCGCTCGGTTGGTGGGGCCCTCCAGGATCCGGCGAGCCTCTGTGCAGAGGCTGGAGCAGGAACGGCCCTTTACTCCTTCATTTCCACACCCATTACCCCACTAAGTCCTTTAGCCCACAGAAAGGTGTCCCTCTGCCCGCGAGGAATCCAAGGCTCAGCGGGATGAGATGCAGGCATCCCTGGGCAGGAGTAGGGGCCGGTCCCATCGTCCTGGCGGGGAGCGTTTGGCTGCCTTCCAGAAACCGTCCAGGGGATCTTCCTCTCCCAAGCGCTAGCTCCACTTGGACGGACAAGGACTGGCGCTCACGTGCTTCTGCTTCTAAAGGTTTCCAAGTTTCCCCTGATCGGCTTCGGTCTTCCTTCATCCCGACCACCCGGAGAGTCGCTTGACTGCAGGGGTCGCAGCGTGGGGCTGCCGCCTGGGGTAGGCGCCTAGGGGGACTGCAGGTGTGTGGGGGCACGTGGAAGGGCAGGTAAGGCCCCGCCCCCCTCGATATTTGGGGGAAGGCGAGCGGCCCCGAGGCGCCCTCCGGCCTCGGCCTTTGAAATGCCGGAGCCCGCCGAGCCGCGGATGAAAGACCGCCCGCGGGGCTGCGCCTTTACTGCCTTTGTCTGTCGTGAGGTTGGCAGCGGCCGGGGCGCGGGCCTAATCCACAGGATGGGGGTGGAGAGCAGGCGCGGGCCGAATTCTCTCTCGCCGCCCTCTCACCCATCCCGACGACTCCTACCCTCTGGGGGGCTCGGCCGTCTAGGTTTAGGAAGCTGGGCCCGTCATCACTCTAGCGCTGGTACTGGGGTTTGTCCGCGCCCTCGAGGGGCCTGAGACCGGAGTCCGATCCCACCTGGTCTAGGCGGGCGGAGTCCTCCCAGTCCAGGCGCACACGCCCCTTCCTGGCGTAGGAGCGGTCCAGCCGTAATCAGGCTTCGGCCTTCGGCGCGTCGCTCCCCCGCACCGCGCTCTGCGCCGCGCCTCAGCCGGAGGTGGCGCTCTGTGCGCCCAGCAGATCCTTACGCCGGAGGCTCAGACTCCAGGGCTCCTCACGGAAGGCTCCTTTCTCCTCCTTCCCTTCCTCTCCCCCTACTTCCCGGCCCAGGCCGCCCGGCCTTCCACGAGGGAGTGGGGACGCGGGGTCCCAGGGTGGGGACGAGGCACACTTCAGTCCCCTACTCCGACCTGGGCGCCCTCCCATCTCGGAATGAGGGTGGAGGCTCCTTATTCAGAAGCCCTAGGCATCGGATTCTGGGCGGGGGCGCGTGGCAGCCGCCAGGTGAGTGTCCCAGACGCGCCCCTAAACCCGCCCCACCTCTCCCCAGAGACTCACTCCCCCTCCTTTTAAGGAGACGGGAGGCAGGGGCCCTGGATCCTAACGGTGGAAAGAGTCCCGAGCGCCAAGGCGGGGGGCGGGGGGCGGGGGCCGGCTCGCGTTTGCCCTTTTTGGCGCAGTAGCTCTGGGCGCTGCCCTCTGCCGCCGCTGGGGCCCTGGAGAGGCGAGCCGGCGACGGCGGCGCTTCTGCGGCGGCCTCCTCCCCTCCCCGTCCGGTGCCGCAGGATTGCAGCTGGCACGGGAGGGTGGGCAAGCTCGAGGGAGGGGCGCGCGGGGAGCCCCGGCCGGCGAGCGGAGCCCGGCGGCTCTGCTCGGAGCCAGGCGCGGGGCTTTGATGGATTTTACTGCCTGCGTGAGCAAGAGTGTGTGCTCACTGCGGCGGCCGGGCCCAGTGGGGCCCGTGCGGCCCCCGCGCGCTTCCGAGGTGCGGGGCCTGGGCCCGGAATCCGGGGGAGGCAAGGGGGAGGGGGCGGGGGAGGGGCGCGACGGCGGCGGCGCTATAACCCCCTCCCAGCCGCTGGCCGGCTCCACACGCGCGCCCTGCGGAGCCCGCACAACTCCAGCGAGCCGGGCCTGCCCGCGCCTCCTTCTCTCCCGCCGGCGGCGGCGGCGGCGGCGGCGCCGGCTCGGCCCTGCGCCCACCCTCAGGCCCGCTCTGCGAGGCTCTGCGCGGGCGGCGGCTGCCAGGCGGCGCGGCCGCGGGCGCTGCCCGGCTCGGGCCGGCGGAGGGCGGAGCGCGGCGCCGGAGCCGAGGGCACGCCGCGGAGGGGCGCACGCAGGCCGCCGGGCCGCGCCGTGCTGGGCCGCGCCGTGCCGTGCCGGGCGGCGGCGGCAAGGGGAGGCCGGGGACGAGCGCGGGGCCCACGGTGGGCGCGCGGGGCCGTCCGCAGCCCGCTGGGAGAGCGAGAGCCCGCGCCCGGACCCGGCCGGGCGTCCAGACAGGTGATGGGTGGTGCAGCGGCGGCGGTGGCTCCAGCCTCGCTCCGGGGTCCCTCTCGAGGCTGATGCACGCAAATATGCAGAATTACCGGCCGGGTTGCTCCTAAAGCCAGCGCCGGGAGCAAGCGCGGCGGCGGCAGCCAGCACCGGGAACGCACCAAGGAAGAGGCCCAGCCCCCGCCCTCCGCCCCTTCCGTCCCCACCCCCTACCCGGCGGCCCAGGAGGCTCCCGGCGCGGCGGGCGCGGCGAGCGCGCACTGCCTGCTCCTCCTCCTCGCTGGCGCTCCCTGCCTCTCTGCACTCGCTGCTCGCGCCGAGCGCGTTCCGCCGGCTCCCTGCTCTCCGCGCCACCACCCTCCGGGCCGCGCTCCCTGAGGGATGGTACTGAATTTCGCCGCCACAGGAGCCCGGCTGGAGCGCCCGCCCCGCGGCCTCGCCTCCCTGCCGAGCCGCCAGCGCCTCGGGACGCAATGAGGACCTGGGCTTGCCTGCTGCTCCTCGGCTGCGGATACCTCACCCATGCCCTGGCCGAGGTGGGTGCCGCCCCCGCGCCCCGTCCCCTCTCCCTCGGCGCACGCCCTCTGTGGACGCCCGCGGGCCAGGGCGCCCCGGACACTGGGGCTCTGCAGAGTGCCTTTTGATTTTTGCTAGGGTGGCTGATTTTCCAACTGGGTTTTATTTTTTGCCATGCCTAAGTGTGTCTGGTGAGTTTCCAGCGTGTTGCGTCGCTCTGCTGTGTAGGGTCGGAAAGGCGGCGGGTGGAAGAGTGAGGAGAAACTTCACGGGGTGCGGGCTCCTCTGGGGAATGAACCGGGGCGCGGCGGATAATGCAGTTTCGGGATGCAGGGAGCGCGGAGGGGTGTGTGTGTGAGCCGCCGGAGCCCGGGTAAAGGAGGAAAACGGCCGAAAAACAGGTAGGGACGGCCGCGCCGGAAGCCCTCTCTAGGCAGGGTGGTCAGCCAGGGGCCGCAGCCTCCGATTCCTGGTTTCCAAGCCTGGAGGGCTGGCTGGGCCGGCGCAGCCCTGCCTGCCCATGGCCTGCTTACAGGTGGCTGAGCGAGGCGAGCCGGGCCGGGCCAGGCGCCCGCGCCCTCCCACCGCCGGCGTCCCCACCCCCCACAACCTCGAATCCGGAATCCCCGGGAGCTCTGCTGTGATGAATGACTTTTCTACAGCCCCCGTCGCGGGAACTTAGTGCTCGAGACCCCTCAGCGACCCCCACTCTCTGTTAAAATGTGGAAGGAGTTGGGGGAGGCCGAGCGGTGGGGTGGTCTGGGCAGGGCCCGGAGCTGCGAGAGGTGGAGATTTAACCCTCGCATTCCCGGGCAGCCTCTCCCCGCCGCCAGCTGGATTTGGGGCGTCTCAGTCGGCGCTAGGGCCGCGGCTGGGCCGGAGCCGGGGTGGGGCGCTCGTGTGAGTGAGTGTGCGAGCGCGTGTTTATGAGACGAGCGACCCTCGCCCCCGCAGGTTCGCCCGGGATTCCGGGGTGTGAAATTTAAGCCCCTGGCTAGATTAAAGTGTTAGGGCTGCAGTGACTTTTCGTCGCCGATCCGTGACGCATTTCAACTTGATCTTCCTAGATGTTGATTTCACTGTTAAATCAGAAATTACCCGGGGCCCGCGCTGCCCCCATACCTCCTGTAACTGACACCTGGGCGGGGGCCAGAATGCGGGAGTTTTGTTTGAAAATTTAACGGTGGGGAGGGTTTTCTTTTTGCAAAGGGCAGACGTGGATGGGGATGGAGAATGTGGCGTCTCTAGGGTCCGGCGGGGGCGGGGGCGCCTGGGGCCCAGGGACCAGGCGCTCTGGCGGTCGGCGCTGGCCCTGACCGTGTGGCTCTGCTTGCAGGAAGCCGAGATCCCCCGCGAGGTAATTGAGAGGCTGGAGCACAGTCAGATCCACAGCATCCGGGACCTCCAGCGACTCCTGGAGATAGACTCCGTAGGTAAATCGCGCCCCTTCCCTCGGCGCGGCGCGGGGGCACGGGGGGCGCGGGCGGTGTGTGCGCCCAGCGCCGCCTCCCGCGTCGAGCCGGGCCGGGCGCCGCGCAGGAGCGCACCGAAAGGTCGGAATCCAATCCCGGGCCATAAAAGCCCAGGCGGATGAGTCAGGAGTTTCTCTTCCAATCACCACTTTCTCTGCCGACGGCGGCTGAGGGCTGCTTGCTCGTCCGGGGATTGTTTTCGCATTTAAGGAAAATGCCTGGTGTGTCACAGAAGGTTCAGCCGCACAGAGGGCGCTGGCGACCCAGCCAGGTGTGGCTCTGGGCCTGCGCTTGCTCCTGGAGGAGCGGGGGCCCCCAGGCCGTGCGCGGGCGGGCAGGCGCGGGGAGGAGCCGTCCCCTCGGTCAGGGACCCTTTGTACATCGCGAGCTGGTGTCCTGCTCCTGCCCGGGGCTGGGCCTTTGTGGTTGCGGGAGGCCCTGCCTTTCTCTTTTCGTGATCCCTGAAAAGGCATACCTTGGGCACACCTGTTGTGTGGGGACTATTCTAGGGTTCACTCTTTGGCTCTTAGACAGGAGACACAGAGAAAACAGTTCCTCTGTAAACGCCGAGTTCGGAGGCTCTCGAGTTGTCAGTTACAGAGCTGGACTGGTCGGGGTGGGAAGGTCTCCGCCTCGCTGGTATCTGCCCTGTGGTGTGAACTGAAGGCAGCTCCTTCCCAGACCGGATTCTGCTCCCTTTCTGTGGTGGTCTTCTCAGAGTTAATATATTTGGCATGGAAACACCCCCACGTGAGAGTTAAGTAGGGAAAACTCATTATTGATGGTTAAAGAGGCCCGAAATGAACTTGTCAAACAGAGCAGCCGAAGGCACAGACGTTGGTTGGAAGAATTTTAAGTGAAATGAAGATTTTTCTCTCACTGCAAACTACTCTTGCAAGGGAGAGGCAAGGGCTTCAAGTAAAGTCACATGGTCTAGCCATTTGGAAATTTGTAGCTAATTATGGTGGAGAGACCTGAACTATTTTCATTTCATGCCAAAACCACTTTCTAGCGGGGCTGACGGTGTCTGCAGTTTCTTGACCCAGGAAATCCTTTGGCTGATCTTATCAGGAAGAGGGTAGGATTTCACTAGATCGGAGCTGGGCCAGGGGGATTCTGATCTGGCTCCTTGATGTGTGACCTGCGTAGGATTTGTCTTTCTTCTGTTAGCAGAGGACAGCAGGCCTGCACTTTAGATCCCAGGTTTGGGAAAGTAGGGAGACTGCCTCCCAAGATGGTTCCGGGGCTTTTTCTTGGCTTGCACTTGCGAGGCCCCTGGCTTCCCCGCGGGAGGCTTTGGGATGCCACCGGGAAATGGGCCATTCACTCTCTGCTGGGACCATTCTTATTCTGGCCTCTGCAGCCCGCCTCCCCACCCCCACCCATTAACGCCTTTAGCATTGCAGCGCCGGGCGCTCTGCTGATGGAATTCCTCACCCGGGGCTTTGGGGGCTTTGGGAGCATCCACACCAAAAACGCAAGATGCCATGGCCGGTCAAGGGCTGGTCTTACTTACATTTGCCGTTATGGAAGCCCAGGGCTCTTCTCCCCACCCCTAGGTCTACCTGTCACCCATTGTGGGGTCTGCATGATCCTCAATGGACTTCTGGTGCCTGAGGACTTAGGAGTGGAACAGGAGAGGTTCCAGGGTCTTCCATGATCATTAGCCTTGCCCCCAGGGCGGCCCTTTGTGACACAAACCCGAGAGTGGGTCTCCTCCCGCGTGAAGCAGCCTCCCTTTCCAGGTGGAGCCGAACACTAGACCAGCGCCGGCTCTGTGCCGGGGGTCTTTGCCCCACGCTGGGCCGTGGAGAAGGTCGGGAGCAGCTGAGGTCCATTCTCTGAGGACGGGAGCCGCCCTCCCTTCCCGGGGTGGGACCCTCCAGCTTCGCTCTGGGGGAAGGGACTTCTGGGCAGGCTGGCTCCTCCCTGGGTGGGCGGGGTTTTATGATGGGCACGCCTGAGTCGGGGCTGCTCCTGCCTTGGGCTGCATCCCTGGGACCGGTGAGGACTGAGCCGCTGGTGGGGGCGCCCTGAGGCCGAGGGAGTCTGCGCCAGCCTGGAGAAGCTCACTGAGCCCACGGATTCTCCAAGTGAGCGGGAGTTGATTTTTCATGTGTGGTTTTGGATCAAGAGATGAGCGTGTCATCTTTTAATGAGCGGTATTGGAGTTGGGGCCTGTCAGTGGAGTGTGATGCGAACCGGCCTCCGTGCTTTGTGCCCATGTTTGGGTCACTGAGTGGCTGACACACAAACATCCGCACTGTGGGCCATCGACGCTCCCCCAGGACTGGTGGCAGTGGGACCTCTCCCTGTCCTGAGTTGTCATCCCCAGGTCGGTGCAGACGAGACAAAAGGGAAACAACTTGGTGAACTGTCCCCGAGTGGCTTTATGGCGCAGTTCAGGTGGCCTTCCCTTCTAAGTCATTGCCGGCCTTTCTCCTCGGGCATAAATCAGATGGCTGCCTGTGAGCAAGGAGAACACCTGGCCACCCGTCTTGATGGGGCTTGTTTACTGAGGAGCTCTCTCTACTCATCTCTTCCTGCAGGCGGGTCTCTTTCAGGTTTCAGCTAGCAGGACAGGTAACCCCCGAGTTGGCCGTAGAGTCTGCTGAGGCAGGGCCAGGGGCCTGGGGCGGGAGGCAGGCCGAGCCCCCTGTGGGCTCCCGGCTCCTACCGGCCAGCGGTCCTGCTGGCCGCTCCACCTCTGGGGCCTCCGTCTCCTCAGATGTAAAGGGCCACAGCACTCCCTGAGATGAGTGAGGGGTTCACTTGGTGTCTGGTTACGGTAAGGCATGGGGACATAGCTGATGTTAGGTTTTTTTCAGAAGCTGAGGATGTCTGGCCACTCTTTGGCGTGGGGGTGGCAAGATGGTCATCACCAGGATATGGCTCATAAATGTCACTTTTTTGTGAAAAAATGCTTCTTGTCACAGTTGGTAGTTGGGAAATTCTTACTGCATGAGTAGTTCTGTTCTGCTCTTATTTTGGGTCTCAAAAAAAAATGGCGGTGGAACACTGAGTTATTTTGAGTGTAAAGTAGGGTTTTGCTCAGAGCGCAGCATCCTCTGCTCTTTGCACCTCATGCCTGGCTTCTGGTTTTCGCTTTGAGTGAGCACAGGCTTCAGACTTGTGTGGATAGTCACTAAGGTGGATAGTCACTAAGTCACTGGGCAGGAGGAGGGGCCTCTGGTCTGCGCTCCTCGCCAGGACATCCCCCACCTTCTGGGGAGGAGGGGGCCAGGTGGGGCAGCCTTTCATAGGTGCTGGAGCTTCTGGCTGTGGGGCCTGGCTTCTCAGGACCCCTGTGCCCCTGCTTATCCCCTGGGGTGGCAGGGCGGGAGGGAGGGGGAGAGGTGGGAAGAGACCTCCCAGCTGGGTCTGAGGGCCCAGGCAGGGAGGCCAGGTGTGACACCCCCCCATCCAGGAACAGCAGTATCACTGGGGCAGCTCAGTCCAGATCACAGATGGCAGGTGGCAGGACTCTCCCTCCCACACCACCTTTTCCTTCCAGGAATCTGGGAGACCTGGGACTCCCCTTGCCTCTTGAGGGTCCTTTGGGGAGAAGAGGGTGGTGCTATGTTGTACCTGGGGGTCTGGGGTCAGTTCTCATTTCAGCTCGGGGGCATTGCTCTGTGGGGAGGCCTCCTACCAGCAGCTTGCCTCTGCTCACAGCTCTTAGACACCTGGGCGGAAAGGGGCTCCCCTTCCTGCAAACCATCTCCCCTCTGCCAGCACCAGACCGGTGTCAGTGCCCCAGCCACTCCTTGTTTCTGCCTGCTGGGGGCCCTGCTCCCCTCTTGGATTTCTCCTGGTCTCTTGTCCCTATAGTGAACTGGCTTTAGGATCAAGCGTGGTCAGGCTGTCGCCCCCTGGGAGATCAGAATTCTGTGCCAGGGCCAGTTTAGTGAGAAGAAGAAGATGTGAAGGTCGCAGCAGCTGCTGCCGGCCCCTCTGTTCAGCCCACTGCCCTGCCCAAGGTGCCCTGGCTGGGACCAGCGGGGACTGTTGGTTGTGGGTCTTATGGACAGGCTCTCCTTACCTGGTTCCATGTTCCTCTTGGGCTTCCCTGCTTACAGGAGTCTTGCGGGGAGGCTACACATGGCTTCACCGTGCGGGGCAGCAAGGGCTCCATGTTCTGGGGGCACCTGGGCAGGCTTAGCAGACCTTGGTGGGACATTGTGGCAGTTGAGAGTCTACACATTTGGAAATCTCTGTGTAGGAGGGGGGAGGGTCACCCAGGGGGACCCTAGAGGTCTTGGGGAGAGGGTGGAGTTGTGCACAAGTGCTGCTGGAAGGCCCCAGAGCACCTGCGGGCCTCAAGCCCACGTCCTCTTCCTACCTGTAGGGTCCGAGGATGCTTTGGAGATCAGTCTGAGGGCCCGTGGGGGCCACGCCGCGAAACGCACCCCTGAGAAGCGGCCTGTGCCCATTCGGAGGAAGAGAAGCATTGGTGAGCCCTGCGGCCGCTGGGTGGGTGGGGGTCTGGGGCAGCAGGCCAGGCTCTCCCCCAGCCACGGCTCCCTCCTCTGGAACAAAGGCACAGCCTGCTGGGCCCCAGCAGCCTTCCGCCCTGGCCTCCCGCCGTCCCCGGAGGCGGCCTCCTGCCCCGTGTCTCCCTGTCCCAGCCCGCCTGCTTCTTGCCACAGCCTGGCCTGGGCCAAGAGTTTCCAAGAGAGGGGAGCTATCATAAATTCCTTAAGTGCCCGGTCTTGCTGGGGCCTGTTCTTGGGGAGGTGTCTCTGGAAACGTGGTCTTGTTTAATTTCCAGTTTGTAATGGGCAGACCAGTGCTCCTAGCTGTGAGCTGCAAACAGTAGGTGTGGCTCTGCTCTGCTCTGTGGGCTGTTCTTGCAGACGCCCTCCCTTCCCCAGGGCCCCAGCCCCCGTGCTCGGCTCCCTGGGCTTGGGCTGGGGGTTGTGTGGGTCCTTGTCCCCTAGTAGAGCAATCCTCCTGTGTGTCTGGCTCCTGTGGGGATGGACTAGCTGGCCAGGATCTCTGGGGCCTCTGCTCAGCTCTGAGGGGGAACTCAGCCTGTACTTTTTTGGCCCAAGAGTAGGTTAGGGGGTGACCCACCCAGTTCCCTGCCCCTCAGGCCCCTCCTGCTCATCACAGCTGCCTGGGGCGAAGCTGCTCCCTCAGTGCATGGCCTTGGGCAGGTGGGCCTGTCTGGCTTCGGTTTGCTCCAAGAAGACAGCTTTTGTGCTTCCTGAGCATGGTGTGTGGGTGAACGGCACCTGGTTAGGGCAGGTGGCCCCTCCCACCCCCCAGTACCGTTACTGTCAAGACCATCGCTCCACATCTTTCAGGGCAGCCTCAAAGGCTGCCGGAGAGCCTGTCGTCTACCTGTCTTGCTCCAGATGGGAAGGGGTGTCCAGGAGTGAAATGAGGGCGGACCCAAGGACTTCTCCTGGCTCTGGGCCCTGCTGCACCTGGCCAGGTGTCCTGGACAGCAGCCCTTCCCCCAGACCTACAGTGCCCAGCTGTCCTCTTTTGGTGGGCTTGTTCTTGGGGGACCAGCGCCACTGAGGGTGCAAGTACCTCCAGGTCTCCTTGGCCCTTGGGGGGTCTTCTCACCCCTGTACGAGGAGAAGGGAAAGGCTGACCCCCTCCCTGGCCCTGGGTGAAGGCAGGACTGTCCTTTAGGTGCATGATAGGCTTTCGTCTGCAGAGATCAAGGTCCCACTCTGTGCTGCCCACTGGGGTCATGCATGCTCCAGTGCCCATGAGGGTCCATCAGGTGTGCATGTTGGGGCTTCCCCTGGCTCCTGGCTCTGGGGCCTGGGTCCCACAGTGTTGCCAGGGTATAGCAGCTCCATGGGGGCCCCAGGGCCTGCTGGCTGGGCTCTTCGAGCTTGTGTCCGGGCAGCAGGGCCTCCTGTTGGCCATTCCCCATGGCTGAATGTTGACACATGGCTGTTAACACAATGCCCAGCTGGGCCAGGGAGCCGTTGTGGCCTAGTAAGGCAGCATGTGGGGAGGAACGTGGATTTCTCATCCATCACTAGTGCCCTGGTGGCCACATGGAGCTCAGGGCTTCAGGCTGGCCGGATCAGCCTGGGCCAAGGAGTGCAGAGCAGAGGGGGCCCTCCCAGGGACCTTTGGCTCACAGGGCTCTGGCTTGGGGGCTGGGGAGTCGGGGCCCTGTCCATCTGGTGTCCCCTGCCTGTTGTGGGCCCACTTTGGCTCCCTAATAGCCAGCTGGACTTCCCATGGCTGTTTCGTTTCATGGGGGAGCTGCAGCAAACTAACCAAGACAGCCCAGTGCCCTGAGCCCTGGGGTAGCAACCAGCTCTAGTGTGGGCTTTGTTGCCTGGAGCAGGGCCTGGCCCTGACGTCTCAGCTCCAGGTAGCTGTGCCCTTCATGCCCTCCAGGCTTCCCTGCTCTGGAGCTCGCTCAGTTGATGGATACTCGCTGGCTCCCTCTCAAACGCAGTCTGGCAGCCTCAGTTTCCATCCTCGCCTGGCCGTGTGTGCTGTGCCCTGGCTGTGTCAGGCGGCCTGCACTTTTGAGCTCCTGCTTCCAGGTTCCTTGGCCAGTGGCACCTTTCCCTGGGGGCTCCTGCGTGGCGAGGGAGTGCCGTTCTGCCTTGAAGATCCTGCCGCTGCATGACAGATGGCACTGTGGTCAGCTGGGCTCCCATTCACCCCCAGGCTGCTGGGGCTGCTGTGCTCGGGGGTACGGGGCCCCATTCACTGTGCTCTTGCCTCCACAGAGGAAGCCATTCCTGCCGTCTGTAAGACCAGGACAGTCATTTATGAGATACCTCGGAGCCAGGTGGACCCCACATCAGCCAACTTCCTGATCTGGCCCCCATGCGTGGAGGTGAAGCGCTGTACCGGCTGCTGTAATACCAGCAGTGTCAAGTGCCAGCCCTCTCGCATCCACCACCGGAGCGTCAAGGTGAGCGTCATGGTGTCTCCGGCTGGCGGCAGGCACAGCTGCTGGAGCAGACATGCTGTGCTCCCGTTTCCCCACAGGCGCAGAGCTGGGCCACGGTAGATCAGGACTGGGGTCTCTGTCTCCAGGGTGGGTGTCTGGAACCCGTCCCCCTCCACCACCCCACGCTTCCTGCTGTGGGAAGCCGTAGTTTGCGAGCTGTGAGGGCTGTGCGAGCTGATTTTGCCTCTCCAGTGGGTTGTGCATGGTGTGGAACCACTGAGTCCAGGGCTGCCCCGCTCCTCCCCTGGGCAGCTCTTGCAGGTACTTCAGTGGGGTGGTGGCGCATGGCAGGAGAGGTTAGGGTCCCTTTGGGGCCTGCATCGCCACCATAGCCTGTGCCCAGAGGGATGTGGAGATGACAGTGCTGGGGTGGGCACAGGCCCTGCCACGGTGGGCCCTGCGCCTCACCTGTGTGCCGAGGCCCATACCGGTCTTTGGGTGCTGTGGTCCCTGGGCTGAGCCATGAGATCCCCCCACATCTCAGGAACGTGTGCTGTGTCCTGGGACCAAGGACCCCAGGCTTTGGCTGCCCATCTTTGCTGCCCACCTGTGGTCACTGGGAAGTCAGCACATACCTGGTCTGTTGCCATGAAGCCTCTGCTAGCAGGGAGCTGGCTGTGTGACCTCCATGGGACACGTAGGAAGGCCATGCTCCAGTCACACGTGTGGGATTCCTTGTTCTTCCCCCTTGAATCCGTGCAGAAAATTCTGCTTCAGGCCACTCTGGATGGCCAGATTGGGGTCCGGCTTTTGGCTTGGAGCCGGAAGCTTCTCTGGGGCCTGGGTTGTTCCCCTCTGGCCTCGTCCCCTCTGTGACATGGGTCTAAGTATGGTGGCTTTGTATCTGGGGCTGTAAAGGTTCCAAACGAGCCCTTGGCAACCGGCCCTCCTAGAGGAGTTTTTCCTACTTCTGGGTGCTCAGTCCCACTGGGGTGCCAGCTTCCTGCATCCTAGGATGAGGCTGGAGGGTCTGGGGCCCTATCTGGGGAGGGGCGGCCCTCCCTGGAAGCCGGCTCTGGGTGGGTGATGATCCTAGATGTCTCTGGGGATATGGATTTGGGCAGTGGGGTGCCCTTCATGGGGCAGACCTGCCCATCTCAGCTGGCTTCCCATGGCAGGTGGGTCTGCTTTTCCTGGAGTGAGGATTTCAGTTCTGGGGTTATGTTGGGACTCATCCCTCACCAAGGGATCATTTCAAATGCCCTGTGCCTTACCTTGGGTCCAGACCATCGTTGTAGGCCCCTGACCCTAGAGTGGGGTACCTGTGGAGAAGACTGTGTAGACGGTGCGGCTGCCTGCTGCTTGCCTGTCACATGAGAAGGTGCTTTAGACCCATAACAGGGACTTGGCTCATCCTCCAGACTGGGGCTCCCGCCATGTTTCAGGTATTGAGTAAGCACATTCCAGGGCTGACTGCTCCACCGTCTCTCTGCGGGCACTCCCCTTGAAGCCGGAGTTCTCCTGTGCCTGGAGTGCTTGCCTGGCACTGGCTCCTGCCTCAGAGGGGCCTCTGGGCCTGACTCAGTCCTCCAGCCTCCCTGTGCCAGGCCCCGAGCCCAGCACTGCACCTGGTTAGGGGGGGAAACTGAGGCCCAAAGGGAGGAACCCTTGTGTTCCCATGGAGACCACCCTGCTGCCAGCTTCCTGCTGTGGGACCTGCTCTCCTCTGCTTCCGTCGGGTCTTACTGCCCTTGTGTGTTGAGGGGCCTTGTGAGCCCCAGATCTATGTACCTGAGGTCTATTTCTCCTGGATGCAGGAGTGGGGCTGTGTCCTCTCAGTTGGATGGCCCCATACAGGATAGGGAGGGTACTGGGGCTGTCCTTAGTGTGTCTGAGTCGGGGGGCTCGCAGAGGTACGGGGTGCTAAATGAAGTGGGGCTCCGGCTCTGGGGATCACTCGGCTGCCTATGATGTGAGGGCCAGGCGGTATCTGGTCCTGGGATGGACAGTGATCCTCTCCTCTAGTCCATCCTGGATAGGGCAGGGGTCCAGAGGCACCATGTGGGGAGGGTGAATGGTCCGTTTCTGCCTTGGCACAGGCCCAATGGGTTCAGGACAGGTGGTAGAGCTGGGCCAGGGCTTCCCGCACGGGCCTTCATCTGCTCAGGCAGGGTTGGGCAGCCTGTGGGGACAGGGGCCAGTCCTTCAGCTGGAGCCCAGACAGCCTGGTTCCATGTTCAGTGCCCACCCTCCTCAGACCCCAGCCCCTTTCTTTTCCTCCCTGCCTACCCATCAGAGGCTTGGCAGGAAAACATCCGGCCCTAGACACTTGGGTTCTTGCAGAGGGGACAAAAGGTCAGTGGGAACAGGAGGCCCATTGTGGAGGCCGGCCTGGCCCCCCATGCCTGGCCCGGAGCTGTTCCTGCTCCCGTTGGAGCCAAGGCAGAGCAGGACGGGTCCTGGGGGTCCCAGCTGGGCAGCTGTGCTGAGTGCTGGGGGTTGGAGGAGCTGGGACTTCCTGGGTCGTGGCCTGGGACTGCCCCTCCCCAGCTTTCTGGGTTTTCTGGCCTCTCAATGCAGTCTGAGGCCAGGAGTGGTCTCCTGCTGAGGCCCAGGTGAACGGTCCAGGGTGTGCTCAGTGGTGGAAGGCTGCTCAACAGCCCAGGCCCTGTGACCTCCCCGGAGAAGGGACCTGGGGCTGGGCTCTCCAGGGACCTGCCCTCAGGGCAGCAGCTGAACTGAGGTGATCGGAGGTGGGGACCCCAGCACCCTAGGTCCACCTGTGGTTACCAGAGGGTAGCTGCCGTCTGACCTTGGGGAGAAGCAGGTAAGTGGTCCAGGGGGTCTACTTCCCCACTTTCCCACCACTGATGTTACCACTGACTTTGGTGCTCAGTTACTGCTCCTGGGGGTCAAATTCTGTCCTAGGTTGTAGGGGTGGGGGTGGCCGTAACTTAGGGTGAACGGCAGTGGCTCTCGGCTCTCACCTACCTGGCCTTGCCTGAGTTGCCCCTGTGGGGTCAGTGGAGGTGCTGCTGAGAGCGCAGCCTTCCCGTGGGGAGAGGCATGGACACACAGTGAGGTCGTTGACCCCCAGGCCTCCAGAAGCCAGGACTCTGCCTGTGGCCTTGTGCAGGGGGCTGCTGCAGCTCCACTGTGCTTCTGGAAGGTGGATGTAGGTGCATCCACCTGGGTGCCTGGGACAGGCTCTCAGAATTGGAAATTTGGGGCAGGTCCCAGCTAGGGCTCCCTCAGCTGCTGTTTGTGGGGGTCCAGGCCCAGCCTTAGAGAGAAAGCAGGAGTTCCTGCAGCAGGAAGACTGGGCAGGGTGCCCTGTGCTTGCCTGGGGACAGTGCTAGGAGCCAGCAAGGCTGGTCCCCTGGGCCTGGGGGGCTGCACGGGGCCCCTGGCACTGCTTGCTGGGCTTCAGGCCCTGCAGCAGGCCCTGATTCCCCCTGCCCTGCTGGTGTGTCTGACGTGACTTGGGGGGTCAGGTCAGTTCTAAATGGACATGGGGGACATGGGTCTGGAGCATGGGCCCGGGGCCCTCAAACCTGCAGGACCATCTCCTGGGTTAAGGAATGAGCTTAGGCCTGCTGTTCCCAAGTTCAGGGAAAGAAGCTTACTCTGAGCTGCTTCAGCTCCTCATCTGTAAGATGATCTGTAACTGGGCCCTTGTGGGATTTTTGTGACCATGGCAGCGACTGGCACTTGGGGTTCAGTAAGTGCTGTGACATCCAGTAAATGTCACTGACAATAAGTACTCTGCTTGGACTCTCAGATGGTCAGGCCATGACCCGGTAGGGTTGTGGGGGCCCCTCAGTGCGTGGCTCTCCCAGCCTTGGGGGATGAGGGGGTGATGTCCTGCCTCATAGTCCCACCAGGGATGCTGGTGAGCGGCAGAAACTCAAGTCTCCTAGCTTAGCATCCCCCTTAGAAGGGAGATGCTACCACGGTCATGTTCCTGGGGAGATTTGCCAGTGAGGCAGCACAGACACAGGCAGGCCGGTGGCGGGGCGTCAGGTGTCTGGTTTAAAAAGTGCACCCAGATGCCTGAGACACAAATGGGGGCGAGGTGGGTACCCTGCTGGGGCTCGGGTACGCGTCTGGGTGGAGACCGGGAATGGGGTCCCCAGGATGTAACGTGTGAGCTTGCTGGCTTGGGAATGTTTTTGAGAATTTAACATCCACAGTGTGTTCTTGGGGGAAGAATGTGGCTGTTTCCTGGCTGGGCAGAGGTGGCAGAGTTGCCCAGAATCCTTGCATGCCCAGAAGCAGGTGCAGTCATAAGTCACTGTTTGCTTTTCTTTGATAAAGTAGCCATCGGAAGGGAAAGTGGGCTCCCAGACGAGTGGCCGGTGTTGTGTACACTTCACCCAGGGGCGGTGCTTCGGGAATGTTCCCTTCCCTGCTGGTCCAGGATGTCTTGGGTAGAGAACACGCCTACCCTCTCTGCCCAGGAGCCTGGGGGGTTTCAGCCAAGCCTGGATCCTCGTATCTGCCTCCGTTGACCACAGAGGCCAGAGCCAAGAGCAGTACAGCTGATTGATGTGAACCCACTGAGAAGCTAGGGATGGTAGGAAGCAGTATGTGGAGGCCCCCCGGGGGTGCTCAGAGCTGGGAGCTGTGGCAGGGCACAGTGTGGTGGGGAGGGGGTTCCCTGAGTACGGGGAGGAGGGGCTGAGGCTATTGGCCCTGCAGCAGCAGTCAGAAACTGGGCCCAGTTACTGCCTAGGCACACCGGTTCTTCAGGCTGGTGGGATCCTCTGCCCACTGGGGAGTCGTGCTGACGTGCACCCCACACAGTGCCTCTGAGGGGAGGGTTCCCTGGGACCCGACTCTGCCCTGGGGGCTGGAGGTGCCCATGCTGGGGTTGCTCGCTCTGCTGGGTGGCCTGGGCCTGAGTCCAGGCTCTTCTCCACACATAACTGAGTTTATTCCTCCCCACGATTCCTGGGTGGGTGTGGGCCACATCCCATTTGCAGAGGGGATGGTGGAGGCTCTGCCCACATGGCCTAAGGGTCCTCCATCTTGGGCTCGTCTTCCCTGGGGAAGGGGGCAGCTGAGGGGAGACCACACCCCAGGCCTCCCTGGCGGCAGCTTCCTGGGGAACAGACCTGTCCTGCGGCTGCTCCTTCCCGAGGCTGCCTTCCCTCCCAGGTCTCCACTTAGGAAACCTCCCAGGCTGGCCCCAGACCTGGCCTGGCTCCTGACCACAGCTCTGAGCTCATGCCTGGCTGCCTCTGTTCACGCCTGAGGCTGCGTATCACTTCACACAGCCGCCGGGTGCCCGGCACCCTTTGCACCGTGGGTTAACCATTAATGTGGCCAAGCAGCCAGAGCCAGGTCCAGACAAGCCTCAGGGCCTCGCTGCCCAGGAGCCCCATGGCTTCTGATTCCAGAGGAGCTTGGAAAATGGCCCCCTCCCCACTACTCCCTTCTAGCCTGTCTCTGGGCTGGGGGCTCCTGCTCTCCATTTAGGGTCCCATTCAACTTGGAAGTTCTGGACAAGATCTAGGCTTCCTGGCAGCTCTATGCTCAGGTGTAACCTGAGTAGTTCTACTCCCCTTTGCCTTGGTTTCCCCAGGTGAGCAGTGGGGTGGAGTGGGCATCGCTGAGGATGGTTTCTGGGACTGAGGACCCAGGCCTCAAGTGCTGGCAGAGATGGTTAATCCACCACTTGTCTGGCTCTGCAGTGCCCAGGCACATGGGCATGTGGAGGATGGGCAGGTCCCTGCTGAGGACCAGAGCTCAGGCCTCGGTATATGGGGAGAGGATCCACTGGGGCTGCGGGCAGGGGCTTGCCTAGTTATCACCTACTTCTTGGTCCATGGACTGCAAGGGAGATGGGCTGTGTATGGTGGGGGTCACAGGGTCTCTGCCGCCGGCACAGAGCCATCTCCACGGCACCCACTGTGAGCGTGTCAGTGTTCCTGGTACCAGGTGGCATGGCTATGTTGTGTGGACCTGTGTTCCCAGGGCTGGGTACATGTGTGCTCCATGTGGAGTTGAGTTCCCATGACTGGATGTGTGCTTGTGCACTAGCACAGGCTAGTTCCTGTGATATGATGTGTACATGCACTCTGCATGTATGTGGATGGAATTGAGGTCCCATGAGGGGCATGTGCATGCATGTGTATGGCAGGTGGATATGCATTTCCAGGATGGAATGAGTCGGTTCCCTGAGGTCCTTGGGAACTTGATTCCTCAGTAGCCTGGATTTGTGTGGGGTAGGCGGGCTCTTGGGGCTGGATGGGCCACTCCTGGGTAGGGGTCTGGTGCAGGTCCGCCACTCTGTGGGCTGGGCTGGTCCAAAGCAGCTGGAACAGCTGGGGCTCATGACGGACTGAAGATCAGGCACCAGCTCTGTGCCGGGTCCCCTGTAGCCACTCCTGCCCAAGGAGAGCTGCTGCCTGGGGACCATGAGAAGGTGCCTTGTGCCTGGGATTCCTTGCCTGGCCTCCTCAGGGGGCAGGGGTCCCCACAGCACTGGTGGTCTGTAGCCCACTATAGACTCAAATCCACATCTGGACTCCGCCTCCTTGTGGCCCCTGGGCCACGTTTCTCCTCGTTCCCAGGCAGGAGGGTAGCCCAGGGCCATGTGGCAAATGTAGCTATTGCTCTTTTCTTGCTACAGCTTTTTAACCTTTGATGGTGAGTATAAGTTTTGAAGCTTCCCTGTTGCTCTAAGGCCCCTGTAACGGCACAGGCACCTCCCTCATGCCCCAGAGCCACCGCCTGAGTGTGTTTTTCAGACTTGCTGGCTCATGTGAGCCTTTTGGGTTTAAGTCAAAATGGGACCAACACCCAGGTGCTATGCTGAAGCCCTTCCTACCAGGAGGAAGTCAGGGAGGTCAGAGGTCAGGCTGCCCACACTCCCCCTGCTGGCCTGGGTGGGCCTGGGGCTGTGTGGTGGGTGTTCAGGCTGGGCCTGTCTGGCAGGTGGCCAAGGTGGAGTATGTCCGGAAGAAGCCGAAGTTAAAGGAAGTCCAGGTGCGATTGGAGGAGCACTTGGAGTGCACGTGTGCGACTGCCAGCCCGAACCCTGATTACCGGGAAGAGGAGACGGGTAAGGGGCACCACCGTCTGCCGCCTGCATGAGGAAGGGCCCTAAGCCCAGCCCCGTGGTGACCGGGAAGAGGGTGCGGTGGGCGGTGGGCCGCCTGCTGGCCAGGCATTGGTGGGGCTGAGGGAGCGACTCTAGCTGGAGTGAGGGTGGGCTGGGCCCACCCCGGAGGGCAGGTGGTGCTGGGCGGCGGCTGCAGCTCTGCCCTGGGGCCTCTGCCTCCCCTGCAGGCAGACTTTGCCCAGGAGAGGCAAGGTGCTGTGACCCACTGGCCAGCGCAGGGGACCAGGGAGTGTCTGCCTGCCAGCACAGGTGGAGCTCTCTTCCAGAAAGACAAATGGGTCAGGTGTTCCCTGCTGTGTTAAGGCCCAGCAGCTGTCCCAGGCCCGCTCACTCTCCTGCCCTTCTGTTAACAGGAAGACGTAGGGAGTCAGGTAAAAAGAGGAAAAGGAAAAGGTTAAAACCCACCTAACCAGCCGACCAGGTAGGAGCTGTTACCTGCGCAGGCCCTGATGGGGGAGGTGCTCTGATTAAGCGAATCACTCCAGGCCACGGCCCTGATTGGCCCTGATTGCCCTGCGAGCTTCTGGTGTCTGGCTGGGCTGTGGGTCTCCTTGCTCCTGTCCTAGCCGCTCCCGTCACACGGACGCCTGGTCCACAGCTCACTGGTGCTCCGGAGCCCTGCTCTGGCTTTGGCCTCTTGGTGATTGGCGGGCGAGGCATCACAGAAGCAGAGTGGTTTGGGCTTCCTGAGCAGCAGTGGGGTGGCTCTGACATTACTAGCTGGGACCCCCTCGAGCAGGTTACCCACCCCATGTGACAGATGAAAAAACTGAGGCTTACAGAGATCACAGGTAAGGGCTGTATAAGGCAGAGTAGATCCTGTCTGAAGATGCTTTAAAATGTGTAGGGCTGTTGACTTCTGGAATGTCCTGGAGTTGTGTTGCCAAGTGGTAACACTAGAAACAATTAGGGCTGTTTCCATAAGGTAGATGTTTGTGACTCATGTCAAGACAGGGTGACCAGAGCAGATGTAGCAGCTGTCATGGACACTTCCATCTAGCACTGGTGGTGTCTGCGGGCTGCTGAAGTGCCAGAAATCACATCTGTACTCCAGTCTGGAAGAAGGCTTGGGGGGAAGGGCGAAAGGACCCTCTTAAGACAAATTCCACCAGTGACTTCTGCTTGCCCTTCTTGGCCGTCTCTGAACTGCAAGGGGGCCCAGGAAACGTAGTCTTTTAGGGAGATATGCTGCTTCCCAGAAGAAAGGCATCTGGGCAACATGGTCACCATGGAGGAGGCCGTCTGCAGCCTTCCTGGCCCTTGGTGCTGGCCTGTCTGGCTCTGGAGGGCCCGGTCCTTGTCTCTGGGCATCCGTGAGCCTATGGCATCCAACACAAAGCTGTGAGAGGGACTCTTGCAGGCAGGCATCCAGTGCCCAGGCTCTGGTGGGACAGTAGTGCCTGTAGAGAGCTGCTAGGCCAGACCCCTGGGAAGCTTGTGGGTTGGTCCATCCAGGAGGGTGAGGAAAGGCCCATGGGTACGGGCTCTGGAGCAGTTCCCAGACATCTCCAGGGTGTGGAGCTGGTGGTGGTGCCTGCCTATACGTCCAGCCTACAGACATTGGCCTCTGGCCTCCATGGGCCAGCTGACGACAGATCAGAGTGCCAGGCGGGCATCTCCGCTTCTCCAGGCCCTGAGCATGCGGGTGGGTGGTACAGGGGTTGGAGTGAGCAGTGGTCATGTGATGTAGGATTAGCTCAGAGCTCAGTGTAGACCACCTGGTCACAGAGACCCTGCTGTCTCTGGTGGTGTCCATCCTCAGGGTTGCCTCGTGGCCCAAGGTGGCTGCCAGGAATTACGTCAAGCCCTAGGCTGTTAGGAAGAGAAATGAGAAGAAAGGCAAACCTTCCTGGGCCTCAGTTCCTCCATCTGTACAGTGGGAGGATGGGGCTAGGCTCTCAGGCGGTTCTCCTCTGAGACCCCGAGAGCCTTGCCCCAGTCCTGGTCAGGATGTTACAAAAAGCGTAACAAGGCATATTTGATGTGAAAAATCACACGAAAACATCAAATCCTGACTTGTCCTGTCATGTGTGTGCACGTGCGGTGGGTGTGTGCTCACAGCCTGCCTCTCACTGCCTCTCTCCTCTCTCCCTGCAGATGTGAGGTGAGGACAAGCCAGCGGCCCTTTCCCGGGATACGGATGCACGCGGCGTGTTACATTCCTGAACCTACCACGTACGGTGCTTATTGCCAGCGTGTGGCCTTTGTTCTCCTCCGTGAAAACCGTCTCCACGCACACTCTGGAGAACAAAGAGACAGTATACATTGTTTAATGTGACATCAAAGCAAGTATTGTAGCACTCGGTGAAACAATAAAGAGAGAGAGCGCCCGCAGCAAACAAAACCACGGCACAGGACAAACAAAACTGACTCACAAGAATAGCGAAACGATTCTCAGAATGGAGGGACGCCTGTGGGAGGGAAGCTTCGGTGTCTCGGCGGGCTGGATTTCTGTCCGGGCGGCCACAGGTGCTTCCGCCAGGGACACAGCCTGCTTTCGGGATGACTGCACGCAGATGCTAGCAGGCCCTGCAGGGGCGCGGGAGCCAGGAACGTCCCGGAATCTGCCACGGGACTTTAGAAACCACATCTCCTTGCTGTAGTGTTTAAGTTTATACAGAAACCTTCCTGAGAGCCTTAAGTGGATTTTTTTTTTACACCATAAAGTGATTATTAAGCTTTCCTTTTTACTCTTTGCCTAGCTTTTTTTTTTTTTTTTTAATTATCTCTCAGATGACATTTACACCGATGATACCAGACTGCTGTAACAGGACAGTGGGTCGGACAGTATTTTTCCTAGCAGGATGCAGACAAATGAGATGTATTAAAATAAACATGGTATACCCACCTATGCATTACTTCCTAAATGTTTCTGGCTTTACGTGTTTCTCCCTTGCCCTGTTTTGTTTTGCTTTTTGATTTAAGCCATGTCGAGAGAACTGAGGGTGATCCCATCAAGTGCCATCCCGCGTCCCCCATGTGCTGCAGTGCAGGCCACAGGATGTGGCCTTCCTGTGTGGCTTTTCAAGGTTGCTCCTGGCTGCCACCAGCCTTTGAACAGATTTAGATTCTTTATTTTTGGTAAGATGTTAATGCTTTACATATATTCAACACACACACACACACACACACACATGTTATTTGCTTTTTTGTTCTGTAAAGGTGAACTTTGTATTTTTATCTAATATTACCAGTTTTATATACTTGAGAGCCTGCTATGTTGTTTTTTTCTTTCTTTGAACCAAAAGGGGAAAAACCAAACTCACAAAACCCATTTGTACACATGAAGAGCATTTTGTGGTCACATTTCTCTATTGTAGTGGATTTGAGACCTTGTCTCGGGCTGCGTGGTCTGGGACAAGGTGCTGTGGCTCCTGGCTAGTAACTGGGAGATGCCGGCACTTCTGGGCTTGATGAGGACTTGAAGAATGCAGCCTGCCCGGGGATTCTGGAACTAACCAGTGTGCAAAGAAGCCGGCTTACATGTGCGGCCTTGGAGCAGGAAGCCATCCGCCTGTCAGAGCAGACAAGCAGATGAAGAATTTTAATGTGGAAGTGAGTTGACTCCACCGTCCCCACGTGTGAGCCAGTAAACATGGGCAGCTGCGCATCACCCACACCTGCTGTCCCTGTTCTCAAAGCCGTAAGGCACGTGTGACCATCCAGATCCCTTTGTTGCCCATGGGGCCGTCCAGGGCAGTGGCAAACGTCTGGTGTCTGTGTGTTGATGGAAGATTTCTTACAAAGGGATTTCTTCAGCAGTTGACCCGGTAGTTTTGGCCTGTGGGATGCTGCCTTTCAGCCTGACCGAAGGGAGGTGGGGAAGGACGTTGGGTGGGTGGGTGCCAGTGGCCGTGTGTCCTGGCTAAGGTGGATGGCCAGCGGAGAGGTACGAGGCTGCTGGGGTTCTGTCCAGACCCTGTCGGGGTGTCTCGGCTGTACATTCACAGTGCTGTGCCTGTGAATCTGTCTGATGTTAGTTGTATAAACATGTAATTTATGTATTTATGTTTCCATGAGAAGCCGAGTGTACTGCCCAGTTTTCCTCCTCTGCCCAAAGCTGTCTGATGAATGACAAATCCATTAAATCAATGGAGCAGAAAAGCCTCGTGTGCTCTTGGGGAGAAGAAAGCCACCAGGGAGCCTGGTGGCACCTCTGGAAGCCTTCGGTGGGAGGGGGCTGGGGCCTGTCACTCCCCGCTCCATCGCTGTCCTGCCTTCTCCACAGGTGGGGGCCTGCACTGTGGGGTGGAGCCTGGGGACCTGAGCCCTGGGCAGGCTGGCCAGCTCACACCAGGCTGGAAAGGGGCTATAGCGCCGTGGAGGCTGTGGTCTGGCTGATTTGTTCTGGGCTATAGGCCTACGCAGCCTGCAGGCTGGTGAGGCCTTCCCCTGCATTCCTGGTGTTTCTGCTCCTGCCTGGGCCCCCTACCAGCCCAGTAACTGGGCTGCACTGTGTGTGCCTGAGGTCAGGGTTCTGCTCAGGTCGGCTCCAGGGTCTTGTGAGCCCTTGCCTTTCTATCTGGGTCTCAGTGTAGCACCTGCAAAATGGGGGTGGCAGCTCAGTGGGGCCAGGAGACGTGAGTGACGTGGAAGGAAGTGCTGACACCTGAGAGCCCAGCCTCCTGGGACCCAGGGTCTCTAGCGCCCGGGGCAGAAGCATGGCATGTGTGTCCCAGCACCATTTGTGCCTTTCTGGGTCCACAGTTGCAGAGGAACAAAGGCCTTGGTGGGGGCTGCCCCCTCACCCACCTGCCTGCCGACCTGTAGTCACCAGGTCACACCATCCTTGCCTTGTGCCGGTGGTCCTGCTGGGAGCTGTGGGGTCCGGTCCAGGGAAGCAAGGTGCCTCTTTACCTTGGGGTCACTCCCTCACCCTGTCTGTGGAGTGGGTGGACCTGGCCCAGGTGGCAGGTCTCCTCATGGCCAGCTGGAAGGTTGGCAGGAGGAGCCCATCCTGGGTTTGACCCTCCATGTGTGGCCTCAGGTCCCTCCTGTGATTCTGGGGCTGGGAACCAAGGGTGGCTTTCATTCTGGAGCTGTTCCCTTGGTGGGTCCTTGACCTTCCTGGAGGGACCCCAAGCAGAAGAGCAGGGAATGGGCTACAGGAAGGCCAGGTGTGTTGGTCCTCCCTCGCTGGGGCTCGGTCTCCCTGCAGAGGAGTGAGCCCGGGTGGGACCACACCCCTGTGAGCCGGGGCCCCGGTTGAGGCCACACGAACCACTGACCAAGCTGTCCAAGTCCAGAGCCACTCTGAAGTGGGGTTGAGAATGCTCAGGCCAAAGGAGCAGAATTTAATCAAGCCTCACATGCTCCTCTGCCCACCCCAGGGCCCAGCCTCCAACTGTCACATGGTGCCGTCACTGGGTGCTTCCGGGCTGGGCAGTCTGCAGTGTCCTTTGGCCTTGTCCACATGCTATCACCAAGTCATACAGGCTGTCCGTGGGGGAGGGCTGGTCCTTCCAGGAGGCCTGCCTGATGCCCAGCGCTGGCTGGAAGGGAGGCTCCAGTGGACAGCTACCGATGGCCTGCAGTGGAGGCTGCCATCCCCAGTCAGTCAAGACAACAGGCATGTTGGGCCAGGGTGTGCAGCGTCCTCCCTGCTCTTGCCTCCAGCCATAGCCCTCTTGCGTGCTTGCTTCCCAGTCCCCTGAGAAGCCTGCTGCTGCCTTGTGGAGAGTACCCTGGCCTCCTGGTGCATGGGGGGCAGGTCGCAGCTTGGCCAGCGTGGCTCTCTGATGAGGTGACCACTTGCTGAGTGAATGGCAGCTTGGTGGGACCCTCAGCCTCAGTATGGGGGACCCCGCAGGCCCTGCTATGTGGCTCCCATTCTCTCCCATTCCCAGGGGTCTGTCTGCCTTGCTCCCTATGAGGAGGATTCCAGGACCCCTCTGGTTGGTCAGGCAACCCCCTGCCCCAGCCTGCACTGCTGGGCTTGGCTCCTTGCCCCATTTCTGTTGCAGATGGAATTCCACCAGCAGTGCCAGACAGGGAGTGGGTCAGGAGGCACCCATGTACAAATCCCCCGCTCCCCACCCTGCAGTGTCATCCCCCCCCTCCCAACGGCCAGCCCCTGTAGCTCGGGATCCCCGTCAGATGGAGTTGGAAACCTGGGACAGCTCTTGGGCTGTTCCCCACCTCACCTCATGCTCGCTCCCCGACCTTGACCCCCAGGCCTCCCTGGCTCTGCAGTCTGTGGGGTGCATTTCCCAGCCTAGTCTCAGCGTTCAGGCCATGTGGGGTCCAGGTGAAGAAGCCAGCATTTTGGGGCTGGAGGGGCATTTTATAAAGACACCTGTCTGCAGACCTTTTGAGGCTGGTCACTGGGGTCTTCCCTGCCCAGGACCACCCAGACTGTGGCCTTGGCAGGACACTCCTACTGGTCACTCCTGTGGAACAAACAGTGGGGAAGGAGCCCCAGGGAACCCGCATACAAAGGAGGGAGGAGCCGCTCCTCAGAACAGGGAAGAAGGGCGCTGGGGCGCAGTAAGGCCCCAGGACTGACTGGCCCACGTGCACCTGCCCCTGAGGGCAGGAGCAAAGCGTGGGGACATGCCTGTCCCTCTTGGTTGCTGGCCGTGTGGCCCCGAGACATGCCATTGAGCAAGAGCTGAGTGGGGCTCCGATGGAGCGGTGGCCGGGGGCCTCCAGAGGTGAGGGCCTCGAAGCATCTCTGCCTGACCCTCCCCTCAGGACCCCAGGGCCACCTTGCCCTGCCCAAACCTCCTTAGCAGAAAGTGACTCCCTGGTGCCTGTCTCTGCCAGTGGGGACCCTCAGAGGCAGAGCTGGGGTCCAAGTCTGGGTCACACGTGGCCCTGAAGGAGGGCTGGCCAAGGGTAACAGGCTGTATACTCAAGAGCCTCCCCAGGCCCCTGGACACCACCCAGGGATTGTTGTGGCTTCCCCGAAGAAAGAGCCCCTGGAGTGGAACCAGGACCCCACCTGGGCTCAGAGGGGTGGCAGCGGTGCCTGCGCAGTCCCCCATGGCCACAGCTGGAATCTGCTCCCACTCCCTAGGGGACGAGAAGCGTGCACTTTCTGCAGAATAAAACAGTGACTGTTTCCGACCAGGCCCTTGAGCTGCCAAGGAATGTGGAGTATTCGCTGTCTGGCTCCTGGCCTCCGATCTGTGGGTAGCGTTCCTGGGAGGGCAGCCCTGCGCCCCCTGTGGTGCATGACCCCGCCCCCGCACACCCATGGGGAAGCCGGCTGCCCCTCTGGCCCCCAGGCTGGAGCGACAGCTGTGGCCCTCGGGTGCCTGACCCTGCATGGCCCTGCCAAGTTGGGGCTCCACCAGGCGCTATGCTGCCAAGAAGGCCTCTGTGGTTCTCTCGTGTAGACAGACAGACGGACATGCTCCTCTGCCTCCCCCCAGGCTCTGGCCAGGGAGCCACACCACTCAGCCACAGAGCATGGGCTGGGAGCCCCCTCTCATTTGCTGAGGACTCTGGGCCCCTCAAGACCATGTTCCCAGACCTGATGGGGTCCTGACCTTTGGGGGCAGGGAACCCAGAGCACAGTGGGGTGGCGCCAGCCTTGGGGCCTGCTCCTGCCTGGCACTCAGTCCTTGCAGGGCTGGGCTCCTGTGGCCCCTGCAAAGGGTGCTTCGGTCTCCTGAGCATGGGTGAGCCTGGGTGGGTGTTATCCTGTGGCAGCTCAGGGGATTTCCTGGGGCAACAGGCACCTTCTCTAGGTGTCTTGAGGGGCAGGCCTCCCTTGGGGCTGGTGGGGACAGGTGCTGGGGATCCCGGCCTTTGTGCCCAGCTACCACCAGGGTCCTTCTGGCCCTGGCTCAGCCATCAGAGGTTCTCCCACCTGATTTGGGAGTCTCAGCTCAGCACACGGGCACC